TTAAGGTTGATAATTGTAAAGGGTCGTGACATCCGATTTGACCTGTTAAGGTCGATAATTGTAAAGGGTCATGACATCCGATTTGACCTGTTAAGGTCGATAATTGTAAAAGGTCGTGACATCCGATTTGACCTGTTACGGTTGATAATTGTAAAAGGTCATGACATCCGATTTGACCTGTTAAGGTTGATAATTGTAAAAGGTCATGACATTTGATTTGACTCGGTAATATGAAAATAGTTAAGTTACGCCTTAGTGGTACTTGTAAACCAGAAAACAACTTTTGTATTTTTAATCCTAGACCCAGATCAATAGTTAAATTTACATTTTCATCAGTTGTAATCCCTGAATGAAGTTTTTGGATTGGGTTCCCTGTATGAGTCATCACTTGTTACCCAGATCAGGGTTTAGACCTACATTTTTTGAGTAGTAATCCCTGAATGAAGTTTTTTGTATTGGATTCCTTGTATGAGTCATCAGTTGTTGCCCAGATCAGGGTTTAGACTTACATTTTCATCAGTAGTAAAACCCCTGAATGAAGTTTTTGGATTGGATTCCCTGTATGAGTCATCAGTTGTTACCCAGATCAGAGTTTAGACCTACATTTTTTGATTAGCAATCCCTGAATGAAGTTTTTTGTATTGGATTCCTTGTATGAGTCATCAGTCGTTACCCAGATCAGGGTTTAGACCTACATTTTTTGAGTAGCAATCCCTGAATGAAGTTTATTTTTGGATTGGATTCCCTGTATGAGTCATCAGTTGTTGCCCAAATCTGGGTTTAGACTTGCATTTGTTTTAGTAATAATCCCTAAATGAAGTACATATCCTTTCATTTTAATTTTAATAACTTAACTACACCTAGAAAACAGTGCATTTAAAAGTTAAACGTGTGTCTGTATAAGAAGGTATTGGGTGAAGTGGTCAGGAACTGTTCTTTGGCCAATGTATTACAGGATACTGAAGGGAGAACTCCTATCCACGTGGCTATAGCCAACCAGAACACAGTGATCATCTCTCTTCTGTTGGCTCACCCCGAGCTTGATCTGACACTGCGCGACAGGCAAGGTTTGACACCTTTTGCAGCTGCTATGATGCTCAAGAATAATAAAGCTGCAGAATCAATCTTGGCAAGGGAACCAAAAGCTGCAGAACAGGTAAACATTCCCGCTTTATCTACAAGCACCACAGAACTTGTTGTTTGATCATCTTTGTAAAAGTTTTTATACTTTATTTTAAAACATACTTCTGCAAAGTTTGCCCGAATAACACAAAAATTAGATTTTATATTCTGTAAGTACCATTTAAAATGTAAAAGATTCAATTCAATAATTAGATCTCAAGACCATTGATTTTATACATACTCACTATCTGATTCTTTTATCTTATATGACCCACCTGACATTGAAAGCATTAATGAGTTTAAATGGTTGCTACACAAGTCTTCTAAATGCAATGTAATATATGAAAAATGTAACGATTTGTTTGACAGCACGACAACAAAGGAAGAAATTTTCTCCACCTCGCCATCCAGAAGTCAGACATCGAAAGTGTTTTGTTCCTGTTGAGTGTCAATGTCAACATTCATTCTAGGGTACAGGATTCTTCCCAACTGACTCCACTTCATGTTGCAGTAGAAACTGGAGCAGAAATGATTGTCAGGAACTTGGTAAATAAAAATAATAATGATTCACTTTCGTTTCCAGTTATTCAAGACTTGTACACTCTGTTCGTTAATTTGTCAGATCTTACCTGATTTTAACGGAAAAGTTTATGACCGTAGCAGAGTTAAATTAATGATTCGCTTTCGTTTCCAGTTATTCAAGACTTGTACACTCTGTACGTTAATTTGTCAGATCTTACCTGATTTTAACGAAAAGTTTATGACCGTAGCAGAGTTTAATTTAGGAAGTTAACTATTAAAGAAAAAATAATGTTGTTTTGGAAACTTTTACGTTGAATAAGATGCTCGATAGATATCGTAATGACAGTTCTATTGTTTAATTTCTCAGCTATTAGCAGGAGCCAGTATTAATGACACGACACCTCAGAAACAAACAGCACTCCACATTGCTGCTGCTTTGGATCATAGTGCCATTTGTTCCGTTCTTTTGGAGAACTCTATTGACTTTGATGCTGTAGACATCAATCTTAATAACGGTGAGATGAACTTGCGTATCTAATCAATTGTTTAACTCAAAATTATTTAAGAACTGATATCTTATCATTAGGTGACGTTAGTGTAATTAACAAAAAAAATTGAAAAAAATGTTCAAAGTTTCTGGGTAGTTCCAAAGGAGTCTTGTCTGTAAACAAAGTATCCATCAATTGTTTTTAGAATTTTCCTACCCATCCCAAAGTATAGGTTTATGTTCAAATAGAAATTGTAGTCCTTGGAAAAAATAATGATTATCTTGTTTTTCACATAATTTTCCTTCCTTGTGAGTGATTTTTATTACTACAGATTTATGATGCTACAGCATGGAGTCTGAACAATTTCTAATAAAGCTTAACTTTGAAGATAGAGCTCGTTGGCTAAAGTGGCCGGATGGAAGAGAATTTAATACGTAAACATCAATGTAGAGTAAATGGTGGTTTCAATCGAAATAATTGCCACCTGAATATCCCACAGCAGCGAACAAAGGATTCTAAAGTGAAGTTTACAATGCTTAGGAATAACTGTAGATCTTGGAACCTTTTACTGTCTCTTTTAATACATGAAAACAGTTTCATGTTAACATATATCCGTTTGAAATCTTCAAGAATTTTCTTATATGAAAAAAACATAGACAAGTTTAGAAGAATCATTATGTGTGGCAGATTATTCAGATAAATGATTTTTTATTCAAAATTATTAAGTTTATAATATTCAAGCAAGTGATATTTATAAGATAACTTCGTCTCTACCAAGAATATTGTCGGCAGAAATCATGACACTTAGCCGAACAAAAGTAGTAGTAATAATGTTTTTTGAAGCCAGAATTTGTGACTGCTTCTATTGGAAAAGTAAAGTATCAAGAGAAATGTGTTAATGCTATATTAAACATTTTTTTTGTTGTTGTTGTGGGCTCGAATCACTGTCACCGAATATATTCGCCCTTTCAGCCATGGAGTTGTTATAATGTGGCTGTCAATCTCACTATTCATTGATAAAAGAGTAGCCCAAGATTTGGCAAATTGGTGGTGTTGACTATCTGCCTTCCCTCTAGTCTATCACTGTTAAATTAGGGACAGTTAGCACAGATAGCTCTCATGTAGCTTTGCCTGAAATTAAAAAACATACAAACAATATTTTTATTGTTACATAGCCTTCTGGAATATTTGACACTTTTATCCAATCTGTTGATCTTATTTTGATTATTTTGAGGCTGCATTCTTGGTATTGCTTTGAAGGCTTCTCCTAAATTTATGTTTACAGTGTTGGGAGTATTTTCAGGTTACTCCCTAAGAGTTGTCAAGTACTTCAGTTTTCTGTACATTTAAATATTTATTTGGCATTTAATAACTGTCTCCACTTTAAGCTCTCATTTGTATTTCTAACAACATTGTTAATAGCTTTTACAGAGATTTTATTAATAACCTACATATTTAAGGAACTTCAAACTTGATACCTTATTAGTTGACATAGTGGGTTAAACAATAGATTTTAGATCCCACATAACGATAAACTATAATCCCCAACCTCTCCTATAACTTTCACGATTCTCAGCTGTTTTGTTATTTTTTAAGAAAAGGTTTACAATAACTCTGTATTAAGTGATCTTTAAAACACTTGTAGCTCTTCACCTGGCATGCCAGAAAGGAAACTTAGCAACCTGCAGAGTTCTGCTCACTGAATCTCGAATCAATGCTGAAGCTCATAACCTCAGGTTTGTTTGTTTAACAGCATTTTATGTGATCTTAAATTCTTATTATCTTAAGTTGTACTGCAAAAAAATACTCATCATTTTGGGGGCAAGATTGATAGTCAAGATCTACTGTTTAATCAGATAAGAGTTGACGATAAGTGATAGTAACCAGTTATCTTCTCTCTCTGGTCTGTTCCTGAATTAAGATGGATCTTGTCTATTTCTCCCAATATCATATAAAATTGTCATATAAACCAACTTGTGTGGTGTTGATTGTTTATAAAGATGTCTTTCACAGCAGGTCACATCTTCATATAAACCAACTTGTGTGGTGTTGATTGTTTATAAAGATGTCTTTCACAGCATGTCACATCTTCATATAAACCAACTTGTGTGGTGTTGATTGTTTATAAAGATGTCTTTCACAGCAGGTCACATCTTCATATAAACCAACTTGTGTGGTGTTGATTGGACATCTTTATAAACATGTCCAGTGAAACTAAGATGTGACATGCAGTGAAATTTAGATAAAGCGTGTTTTATGAAGAACATTATGAGAAGTGTAGGCAAAAAATTAAACTGTTGTTTTTAAATGCAATTACTGTGATAGACATCTGTTTGCTAAATTAGTAGAGATTCAGAATTTGAGAGCCAGAAGAAACAAGTTCAGGGCTATCTTCTAATTAGACTTTCTTGAATATTTAATTGTTTTTTTATAAGAACATGATCAAGGATAAGCACCTAGTAAGGATATGTGCAATTAGACAAGTGCTAAACTATAAGGTGGCTCTGAATTAACAGAATACTGCTTTTCTGTTTCACCTTAAATTGTAAGCTTGCTCTTATTGCAGCAGTCTGTTTAAAATTTTTTGGACATTCATTTGTTTTATCATTATTGTTTCAAGTTTAATTTTCAATAAATGTGTAACATGGCATTATCTAAATATTTAAGGGTTACCACAAAATATTATAACGAAACAGTGTGTTATAATTTTAATCAAAAGATTCGTATTGGATATAAAGTGAATTCAGAAACATTGGGGTGTTTCTTTTTTTTACGTACTTGTAAGCGTGAACTTCCCAAGCTGAAATGCTACTATCCCGACTCTCCTTTTTTCATCGAAATGAATAAATAAATACACTTTGCAAGTATATATATAAATCTACATTTATTGCGGTGACAGTCTGAAGATAATAGATTAGATTATTACAGCATATCTGATGTACCAATAAACAGTCTACATGTGATAGATTTGTGGTATTGACAGTTATGTGATATAATTCAAAATGTGTAACTCTGATTATGCAGTCTACCGGTGTGGCAAAATCAAAACAACCATGTGACGGGAGAAAGGCTAAGTGGGTGGCCTTAGTCATTTCACCAAACCAAAGCTGTATCATTTCATCTTGATACAACTTTGCATTAAAAAATAACCAGTCACAGTAAAAAATAATCAAATAAAACAGAAGGTGTTCTATGTAGAAACTAAATAATTGAACATTTTTTAGTCACAAGTTGGTAATTGAGTCGCATATTCTTATATCAGGCCTACAGTTGGTTAACCTGTCCTCAATAAACGGGCTACCAATCTTACGATAATTTCAGAAATGGTAGGTATTTAACAATTTGAAAGAAAAAATAAGATAACAATTTTGTGAATTTTAATGAGAAATTATACTATTGGAATTTTACATACATGCACAATCAGAACGACACTAACCTTAATCTAGTGTGTATAGAATTCACGATAACCCAAGCTTAAAATCTTGTCGTCGTCGACATTTAGCCGGTGGATTTTTACACCCTCACATTCTCATTTAAAGTTGGTTAATCTAACAGCAAATATTTTCTAAAAATTGATTGGTATTAATTCTGTTATTTTACGTTTAGAGGCCAGACTCCTGTTCACGTATTGATTGGTATTAATTCTGTTATTTTACGTGTAGAGGCTAATACATGAACAGGAGTCTGGCCTCTACACGTAAAATAACAGAATTAATACCAATCAATACGTGAACAGGAGTCTAATACATGAACAGGAGTCTGGCCTCTACACGTAAAATAACAGAATTAATACCAATCAGCTCAGTATGGAAGAGAAAATGCTGCCGCTATTTTTGAATTGTTCATGGAAAGTATGCCAGAATATCCAATTAATAATCCAGATGCAGAAGGAAATACACGTAAGTATCATTGACAATAATATTTCCTTTTCCATTTTCTGTTATCACATGCACTTTTCATCATCTGATATGACGTACAAATTATTTCAATTGGGGGGGGGGGTTACAAAATCGACTAAAATTCTTGATTTATTTTAATGGGTCGCATAAGGTAGTCATTGAAATCAAAAATATTAAGTACAGCATGTGTAAATACAGTTGTTCACCCGTTTTTGAGTGTGCAACACAACGTTTACTTCAGAGTGAGGTGTTATGCCACGATAATGTAATGATTAAAGCCCAGGGGACTTTTCTGCAACTTAACAAAAACTTGTAAGTACACATTTCGAGTATGTGAGCTTAACAAACTTACAAACACTAACTTTTTGACTTTTTTCTTATAAATCTGTAACTTATTTTACCTGAAAGCATCAAATAACGTAATCGTTCCATTCGTTTAGTGTTTTATAGTGGAAAAACCGATGCTGTAATATTAATAAATTATTTTATAAACATCTGTACGTATTGCAAAAAAAAAAACGTTTTGGTCAAATGCTACTGGTACTTTCAGAGTTAATCTGCTATCCATTGTTGGGCCAAATAGAAATGTCTTGCTAGCAGTCATTGATTCATCCCTAATTTAAATAAGAGTGAGTAAATTGCGTAAGTGTCAGTTACCCTGCACTTTTCTAACGTAGTTAAGTATCCTTGGCCAATTAGTGTTATGTACTAACTGTTAAAAGTGATTATCATCAAGATTTCTCTAAGGGAGTAATTACCATCATCAGTTTTTTCTAAACCTGTTTTTATGTGGTATCGTGAAAATATTTTTCAAACGAAAAGGTACATCTCGTCTATATTCAAAACCCACAACTTACACTCATTTCGCAATAAAATTAATATGTATTTTTTGTACTTTGGAAAACATGGAATCTGTGGAAACTCATTTTCCATCCTGAGAAAGAAGATGAAATCCACTTTCAGTAATAGATAGGAGCTGCCTTGGTTCATTGGACAGTTTTATTGGTTATCAAAATCAAGACATTTTATTGGTTATCAAAATCAAGACATTTTATTGGTCATGAAAATCAAAATTTTTATTGGTCATCAAAATCAAGACATTTTATTGGTCATCAAAATCAAGAAATTTTATTGGTCATCAAAATCAAGAAATTTTATTGGTCATCAAAATCATGACTTTTTATTGGTCATCAAAATCAAGACATTTTATTGGTCATCAAAATCAAGACTTTTCATTGGTCATCAAAATCAAGACATTTTATTGGTCATCAAAATCAAGACTTTTTATTGGTCATCAAAAATCAAGACATTTTAGTTGTTAATAACCACTCTTAAATGAAAGTTGAAATGTTCCAATTTGCACAGTAGTTGACATCTCTCTTGTTTTATGTAATATAAGTTGTTTTGATTCAATGTAACAACTTTTGAAAATCTTTGGTTAATAAATCAACTGTAAAAATGTTATTGTTTTAAAATGATTTGTATAGGGGAGATGAGTATTCCAGATCAGCGTATATTTATATGCAATGTTAAACATACTGATATGAACTGTCTGCCATGTTTACACTTAAGTTTTACTAAGTTAGATCATAAACAAATGACTTTTGTTTATTAGGAGAGAGTATATATGTAAATTGTATGCATGCGTGATTTTGTGTTTTCTGTTTCAAAAAACTATCCACAAGAGTATGATACATAGAACATCTAGTTGGTTTTCACTCTCAATTTGAGTGTCTGTATAAATCGTTAAAGTACAAAATACATATCCCTAATAGCCACCTGCCTTGCTTGATCATGAAACCCATCCTTACTCATTCATTAACATAGTAAAGTAAAAATCCCTAATAGCTACAAACCTTGCTTGATCATGAAACCTTATCTTTACTCATTCATTAACATAGTACAGTAAAAATCCCTAATAGCTACAAACCTTGCTTGATCATGAAACTCCATCCTTACTCATTCATTAACATAGTAAAGTAAAAATCCCTAATAGCTACAAACCTTGCTTGATCATGAAACTCCATCCTTACTCATTCATTAACATAGTAAAGTAAAAATCCCTAATAGCCACCTGCCTTGCTTGATCATGAAACCCAATCCTTACTCATTCATTAACATAGTAAAGTAAAAATCCCTAATAGCCACCTGCCTTGCTTGATCATGAAACCCCATCCTTACTCATTCATTAACATAGTAAAGTAAAAATCCCTAATAGCTACAAACCTTGCTTGATCATGAAACTCCATCCTTACTCATTCATTAACTTAGTACAGTAAAAATCCCTAATAGCTACAAACCTTGCTTAATCATGAAACCCCATCCTTACTCATTCATTAACATAGTACAGTAAAAATCTCTAATAGCTACAAACCTTGCTTGATCATGGGATTCTTTCATTAAACATTTTTTTATAAACTAGTACAGTAAAAAAAAAAAGGTTCAGTTCATCTCAGAAGACGTGTACATTGTTTTGTCCATTATACATCATATGTTATAACATCTGTGTTAAATACCTTCAACTTATGTAAATTAAATAATTTTGCAGATAGTATAATTATAACTATGATATTTTTTCTCCTTTATGTCGTCAGCTCTGTTATTAGCATACATGAATGGCAACGGGAATTTGTCTCGAGCAATTGTACGAGCAGGAGCGTGCCTGGGAACTTGTAATAAGCAGGGAGTGAATATCTTCAACTTCCAAGTTGCTACAAAACAACTGCTCTTCAGATTATTAGGTCAGATTGTTTAGACATTATTGTATAAAACAGCTTATAATAATTTAATATTGTCATTCTTAAGCACTCTTGATGGGTATTTTGTGATTCCACCCAACTTGTAATGGAAAGGTTAAGTAACTTACTTTTACTTTTGATAATTTATTTTCATGTTTTTCTTTTACAGAATTTTACTTTAGAGCAATATGTCATAGTTTTTCTTAGTTCCTCATTTCTTGTGGTGAAAACCTTGCGCATTTTTGTGTTCAGGAGTTAGTTACATCTCATTTATAGTGTACATTTAGTTGTCTTTTGTGTTATATTAATGAAATATCTGCATATTGAAGTAATTTTATTGTCTCATGGTTTGGCGGTTTTGATCTGTCTGTTCTCTTACTTTGAGAAATTACAGTTGTGTCTTATTTTATAATGTGTTGTTTTATGTAATCTTATGCAAGTATAAAATATCACCTGTGTGTAGGTCTGTGATATAATGTAACATTAATTTAGCAAAAACAAACATTAGTGGGAAGACCCCTAATGTGTGAAAACAACAGCAAAATTAAAAGTTCACCTCAACTGCAAATTAAACATAGAGATTTGTCATATTCTAATTATGTATGTATGTTCGTGTAACAATTTACCATCAGTTTGAAAAATAAAAAACACTGCTCGGGTCTAGGCATTTAGAAACGTATATTTTTTTTTTCCTCTTATAACATTACCAAATTATGAATTAGACCTCTATGTCACAAATTAAATTTTCAATTTTATCTTTGTTGAAAAGAAAAGAAACTTTTATGGCATAAAATGTGTAAGTTGAAGAATAAATGAGACTTTTTAGGCCTAGCAAAAGAAACACCTCAGGGCTTAATTAGCAATATTTTGTAAGTTAAAATACTCTGAAAATGTGTTTTTTTTAACTTTAAAAGGTGAAAAATATCAAAATTTGAGACCATTTTATCACATGTTAGGGTTAGTAAACAACCATCACAGCGAAATGCCTGAGCCAGCATTTTATCCCTCGACACAATCAGCCTTTTTTTTTTCAAATTGAAAGTATTTATGGTTTTAGTATTTCATCTTGTTTTAAAAATTTATAGTTTGAAATCCCTTATAATGTTATTGATTTGTTGGAATATTTGAGCATCACATTCAAGCATTTCACGAAAAACTTTTTGAATATATTTTGTCATTACTTATAAGTCATCTTTGATTAGAACTTGGATTTATGTACACTTTGATGTTATGTTCTAATCTGCTTCTTCATGAAGCCATGTAGAGTTGACCATGTAAAAAAATAATTTGACACGGTCAAATGTCTGACCATGTTATTTATTAAATGTCATAGCAAAGGCAAAGAATTGGAAGGTCAAGCAAGTTCTTGAAGGTATAACATTTCAAAAAAATACATATAAAATTTGTTACTAGATTTTTTGAAAAACCTTCCCAAAATGAAAAATAAACAAGAATAATGTATTGGCCATCTATTGGTCTGTAAAGATATTTAAATTGCATTTCACACAGAAAGATGCTGTTGTTTATGCATATATGTTACAATGTTGCTATTGTTTTGAAACACTGTGTGTGTGTCTTATTTTAACTCAATGTAGCCTTTGTTCTTATGTTGAGATGCTGTAGTTGTGTTTCATGTCATAAGAATTTAATACATTTTATTTGTGTTCATTTTATAGTAATGTTGTGTCTATTCTTATGTTAAAAATAGCTAGCTATGTGTCCATTGTTACTTATATAAAACAATATTAAATGTATCCATACCGGCAATCAATCAGTTGTAAAATGAATCATGATACACCTCAACATAAAATATATCTAATTCTGAGAACTTCTGGTCCAAAGAAATAGTTATTTCAACAAGATAACTACAAGAAATAATAAGATCATAAAGAGTTATACTGTATTTGAGTGGACAAAAGATGAGTTGTTCTCTAAGAAATGATACACACACACACACACACACAAACTCAACATTAGAATGAAGACAATGCACATTACCAAAAAGTAATACAAATCTTGGGTTATTTAGTCCTGTATGCCAGTGTCGTTTTACTATTAAAATGTTTTACAATTATGTTTCGTTTATTCAGTAAAAATGTCAAGCTTAATAAAAGTAGGCTTTGGATTTTTCTTTGATATCTTGGTAATTGTATTGTTAATAAGAGATTCTATTTGTATAACGAATTAGTATTTTTAAGAATTTAAGATATTTTTTCTAATATATTTGATAAGATTTTCTACCAAGAGAACCACCGTGGGCCGAAGGTGAATATTGTTTGGAGTGTGGAACCAAGTTTAACATAAAGACTCGCAAACACCACTGGTAAGCATTATTAAACAGTCAAATTTAATTTTTTTATTTTATACGTAAAGCAGTTTGTAACCATTTTCATTCGTACGAGTCCTCTTTTAAGCCTAAAAATGCCTTTAATTTTTAATGTTTTGTCTTTGCATCACATAGGTTCTTAGAGATTTTGTTCTCAAGTATTACTTTTTTTAGTAGACTTACTTTATTCCGGTTTTCGTGCCCTTGTACTTAAAACTCACACAGAGCTTTTCTGTTTTTTTACTTGATAAGACCTACCAGTTAATTCCATCCTTTTTCTACTCTACTTGAGAGTTTCAAGGTAGGTAGTTAATTTTGGGAGCACTGTAAAGGTTTCAATTGTTTATTTTGTCTAACTTCTTACATTCAACTTTACACAGTTTCAGTTTCCGAACTCACAATGCTAAAATCTGGAGTTTAGTTCTTCACCGTGGACAGAGTGCAGATTGTGTAACTATGCAATCAGAACTTAAGTTACAGTGTCATCATGATCTATAGTCTTAAAAAAAAAAATCCAATTTTGTTTTCTTTAAAACTATCACTTTTCAGAGAAGTGCTCTTATAGTATTCTAATGATTTATACCAGGCTGTAGATTAACGGTTATCAAACACTGGAATTTGTAATTGTTCCCCAACAGCTGTGGTAGTTTTCATTGCTGATTGGTAGACTACATTTTGAAATTACCCAGAAAAGTAATAGAATTACCATATTTAGCACAACAATCACAATATATAAAGAAGTTGGCTGTTATGATAAGAAGAGTATGTATCTACAAGTTGAAATTAAATTTATTGTTAAAGCGGAAAACTTTTTCATCTCGAAGATGTAGTACCCAATAATAAATCATTTGTCGCTTACGAATTTGTATATGAGGAGGGATATGTAGGTTCTAGTACTGTATGAGTGGAGGGATATGTAGGTTCTAGTACTGTATGTGTGGAAGGGATATGTAGGTTCTAGTACTGTATGTGTAGAGGGATATATAGGTTCTAGTACTGTATGTGTGGAGGGATTTGTAGGTTCTAGTACTGTATGTGTGAAAGGACATGTAGGTTCTAGTACTGTATGAGTGTAGGGACATGTAGGTTCTAGTACTGTATGAGTTGAGGGACATGTAGGTTCTAGTACTGTATGTGTGTAGGGACATGTAGGTTCTAGTACTGTATGTGTGTAGGGACATGTAGGTTTTAGTACTAGGTGGTTCAAGAATAAGATTTTTACTGTATTGAGTCAAGCTAGTGACGAGTAAGTATTGAGTCTAGCTAGTGATGAATAAGTATTGAGTCAAGCTAGTGATGAATAAGTATTGAGTCTAGCTAGTGATGAATAAGTATTGAGTCAAGCTAGTGATGAATAAGTATTGAGTCGAGCTAGTGATGAAAAGCAATTAAAAATAAGAGAGAGTTTAATAGTTGTTAATCTGAAGCCTGGAATAAATTGACAGAATTGTAAATTAGAAATAAATAAAATTGATCTGTAGTCATTATGGTGTTGTAGTCAGCTATTAACATGGCCATATTTTTAAACTCCAGGTCTACTATAACACTATGTCTATTAACATGGCCATATTTTTAAACTCCAGATCTACTATAACACTATGTCTATTAACATGGCCATATTTTTAAACTCCAGATTACTATAACACTATGTCTATTAACATGGCCATATTTTTAAACTCCAGATATACTATAACACTGTTTCTATTAACATGGCCATATTTTTAAACTCAAGATCTACTATAACACTGTTTATATTAACATGGCCATATTTTAAACTCCAGATATACTATAACACTATGTCTATTAACATGGCCATATTTTTAAACTCCAGATATACTATAACACTGTTTCTATTAACATGGCCATATTTTTAAACTCAAGATCTACTATAACACTGTTTATATTAACATGGCCATATTTTAAACTCCAGATATACTATAACACTGTGTCTATTAACATGGCCATATTTTAAACTCAAGATCTACTATAACACTATGTCTATTAACATGGCCATATTTTTAAACTCCAGATATACTATAACACTATGTCTATTAACATGGCCATATTTTTAAACTCAAGATCTACTATAACACTATGTCTATTAACATGGCCATATTGTTAAACTCCAGATATACTATTACACTATGTCTATTAACATAGCCATATTTTTACCTGTCTTTTAACAACAGCCGACACTGTGGTCGTATTCTTTGCTCTCGGTGTTCTGAAAGAGACATGCCAATCTTGAAATTCAACTTGAACAAAGCAGTACGTGTCTGTGAGATGTGCTTCGATGTTCTGACGCTAGGATCATCCATGTAAAAAAAAAATGTGAATACACCTTTGTATAGCTTCAACCATTTTGCCGACTATCGCATGAACAAAGATGATGGCCTTCATGATGGCTTAATTTGATATACAAAATCCATCTTCGCTATCGAATAAAATCTGTTTTTGATCACTTCGGTGTTCGTATGTAAAGTATGTTTGTATGTTTTGAAGCAGATATATTCTCACTGTTGTTTTTGTGCAAACTAAAGAAAAAGTATTGTATAAAATAAATAATTGTTAAATAATATGATGAACTTATGAAACATTTTTTAAGTTTTTTCCCCCTTAATAGTAGTAATTATAAAGTGTATCTGACAGTCTGGACTACAAGTACTATTTTTCAGACTTTTTTTTTTTCATGGAATACTTGTGAATCTATATAAACGTAAAGCTTGATATATATGTTATAAATTGTTGTATTTAATTCTGTACGTATATTGTACGGCATACTTTTTGAAATTGTCTTTGTTCCTCTGTTTTACTTTTTTTGTACTTACGGCCTCACTAGGTCAGTGAAATTGTTTTATGATAACTATTGTTTGTGAATTCTAAATTCTTTAAAAAAAAAGAACTGTGAAATTCACGTTTCCAATAAAAAATATATTTCTTTAAAAGTACACGTTTTCTACCGAGTATTTCAGAATTTTAGTAAGCTTTATCTCATATTTAACAGTAAAATAGTTATTTTAAGCTATGACGCTGTTAGCTTTTCCATCAAAAGTTAAAAGGCTCAAAAAACATGCTCATGCTTTTCAGGGTGTAAAATGGAAATACAGTTTTTAAATTTCAATATATATATATATATATATATATATATATATCTA